GTACTCAGGATCTGCCGTAATTACCTCATTCGTCCGTATGTGTCCAGAACAACCACTCTGTAAAACCCATTTTCGCGTGTTTTCTCGAAAATAAATTGCGAGTTATTGATGCTGGTACCTACGCAAAACGAATCTAAGTTGTGCTTGGGTATTTTGATCCTTTTTCTCATATTTGCACATGTTTTGGTGCTGATAAGGTTCTTCCTAATTCTGTGTTAGGTGAACGATGAAAGTGTTGTTTTTTCGGTTGTGTTCTAGCTTCTATGTAAAATTTCGCATTCATTAATTTATTTAATGATTGTGTTTTGGAAACTGTGGATCAAAATATTGGGTAGTATTTTAGCCGAGCCAAATTTACCGTGCAAACTATTGCGTCTTGTGAAGTTTCATGCATATACTTTTTAGAGGCTTCCACTATTAATAGAACGATTTGAGGTGCACTTATTCTATACCGCGTTCTTGCTTTGAAGGAACCTCCGAATCTTTTTTTTTCATCCTCTTTAATTTACCTCCATTGTTTCCGCTAGACTGGCCTGCTCTTTCTTCACTCACACTCTCCTGGCGGCGTACTGGGCGCAGTCAGAGCTAGGCGATTGGAACCTCCACATCGTGGATTCCAGTCCGTCGTCAGAGTACCTGACGTCCCTCTGCCTCGCTGCGCCCCCTCTTGTTGCCTCTTGCGATGACGCCGACGGTGGCGGTTTGTTGGAGGCGGAGGAGCGGCGGTGGAGCGCTTCCCGCACCGGACCGCCTCAACCACCCCCTTTGGTACACCTCACCACGCCCTTCCTTCAACAAGTCGCCTTCTTCCACCGTGCTCTCAGGTGAGCTTGTTTTACCCTTTCTCCCCGTTTTTAAGCGAGGTGCCAAGTAATGCCAAGTCTTACTTTCTGGGAAAGCTTTGAAATGTTGTTCAGCGCAAACACGTTCGAATTAATGACTAAGCTAATAAGTTTACGGATCCACTTTACCTTTGTCTCTTCTTTTTGATTGTTACAAAAATAACATACAGTCAGACAGTTCAATTTCCCATTGGAGTAAAAAGTAGAAGGATAGATATACCAGCAGACAGAGAAACAGACAACAAATATTACTTGTTTTTATCAAAGAAAAACAATTCAATTTGAGCACTAATACTTAAGTAGGGCCAGGAAGTAGGGGGCTTAGAATTGAAGTGGATTACAAACTAAGTCGCAATGTTTTACTTGGGAATTATTTATAAATGTTGGGCAATGGAACCATATTTTATGCGCCGATTTTCTTCATAAGAATGATTGAACTCTAAGCTAGTTAATCCTTTCTAATCGTTTTTCATTTTCTTTCTTTAATCTCTTTGTTCTTGCTTATTCTCAGCTTCTTGCAACAATAAAATGGTCCAGTTGCTCGTATTATTATTAAGTTTCGGACTTAATTGAAGAAAAGTCTCATGTCTAAATTATTTCCATGATTATTTCATTATGAAGTATGTTCTCAATACCCATAAGAATGATTCGGATTAAACAATTGAGCCGAAATAAATCAAAATGGTCTTTCTACTTCGGACTGTTGGAAAGAAATTAAACACTAGGGTTTTTAAGAAGAAAGTTTTTAGGGACTAAAGATGAGGCATTAAGTTAAAGAAAATCGTAGTTGGCGAATTGTTCTAAGCTTCTAGATGCCAGCCTTAACATTATCATAGCCACTCATATTGAAGTATGTTTGCCTGCTACTTTGTAACTTGAGTAAGATAGAACGATAAAGATAGTTTTATTAAATGACCATTAAAATATGTGACCACCGAGGACCGGTGATGTAGTATTTTTAAGCGTTTTTTCTTAAAATATACTTGTTAATATGCTCATTTTTCAAGGATTACTCGTTATACATATCTAAAACGGTTCAGAAGATTGAGGCAACCAGTTAGACGTCCTGCCTTTAACGTGAGATACATAAAGTGTATCTCCTGGCTACAGTGATTCCTGCGACCTTTGGGATAATCTTTTTTTAAAGGGGGAGGGAGGAGGAATATTGACGTGAATGGTTTGTACTTTTAGGCCGCAAGACTGCATTTGACCGCAAGACATTCTGTCGTTTTTGCTCTAATGACTGGAAAATAGTATGGAATGAAAAAGTTGCTGGTATACACTTCAAATTTCCCGCCCTCTTCATGCCCGTTTAGGTTAGACGTGTCAAACAAGGGGGATCATTGATCCTCTGACTCCACTAAGTATCGTTTCAGTTACCTTTGAAAAATTTTAGCACAGTATTTGGCGCAGTCTAGGAATACAGTTATGGATCAAGAGATCGGAACGTATTGTGGTATTTTCAAATGATGCCACTGTCACTTTTTAGGAAAAAAAGGATTTTAAAATAACAGTTCCCTTTAATTTATGTTGCAGATGCAGCCATTTTAATCCCTCTTGACATTAATATTTACTTAATGCCACCATTTAAATAGTATTTGGTTGGATTTTCATCTCAATGAAACAGTCAAATCTTTTTATTCGTTTGTAATTTTTTGACGATTTCACCCTAAAAATTATGCAATCTTACTCGTCTACTGTTGCTCTGACGGATTCTTGGGACTCATCTTTTATGCCGACACCACATTATTCGATCTTCTATTTTTTCCGAACAAAAAATAACCAAGTTAAAAAAATACCAGACCTGTAAATCGTTTGTAATAAAGATGAATTTGTTCTTGGGTTTGTGGTGCGATTTGTAACTAGAAATACTACTGTTTATTCATTTCAGGGGTTTAATTCCGTCGCGTGCTGATTTACTTTTCCTTCAAACAGCACGAAAATTGGCAACCTATGGAATAGATTTTCACCGGATCCAGGTGGGTTTTTGTCCGTTGAATTCGACCATACCCTAAGGGGCATCATTTACCAATGGACAGCGGAGCTTGTTTCCGTTATTGTTTGTCAATCCTACAGAAGCGTTTATAGGCTGTAGTACTTTGATCTGTGTATTCTCTTAACTGACGTAAGTGAAGAATACGTTATAATCCTTTCAACTGTTTGCGCATCTATCCAACAACTATGCTAGTGATCCTTTTGTATGAAATGCTTTCTCAAATTTTGTATTCTGGTCTTAGAAAATTAAAATCTTTAATATTTAGCACTACACTTTTAAATGCCAAAACTGTAGCACTTATGAATTCCAAATACAATGAGTAGAGGCTTTTTCCCTCGACACAGTCCTAGACTGATTCAAATAAGCAGCACAAAAGCTCATAATAGCTAAGTTTCCTCAAATAGATACTCAAGTATTGAATAAAGTAAGTAAATATTCTACCCCTCTGAAGCTTCACCACTAAAAATCCAAGATTTTTCTTATGTCTCATGTAAGTTGCCTTGTTTTCTCTTGACGAATTGTAGTAGCTATCTGTTATAGTCAGCGAATATTTTTAAAATACGACTTCGGTTAAACAGTTTTTGACATTTTATGTCAAAGCACCATCACGTTTTTTAATCAAAGCATTACCATTTGTACAGAACCCTCGTTTGGTTTATTTTTTGTTAAAGGTGGTTTCCATGCACCTGCTGGTGGAAATTTTAAGGCTTTGTTAATGTGTAGGGATAATCCCTGGATCTTTGAAGAGAGATGCCTTCGTAATATACGCGAAATCCTGAGCTTGTTTGATGCCGTGAAATTGCTTCAAAGCCCCGTAATTTCAAGGCGTCGCCTATTTGGATTGAGCTTACAGTGATGCAGATCACGCGCCTTATGTAGATTTTTCCGCAATTTTTTTCTTTTTATTACCAAGTGGTGTTTGCGTATCATTTTCCACTTAGACACTTCTCATTCAATCCTGCCCCAAAAAAATTTATTCAACTTTCAATCGAGTAAAAAATGCTTAAAGGGCGTGCCTTTTCAAAGCAAATGATTTGTTTTGAAGTTTCGTTTCCAAATCCTTTCCTATTTACTTGGATCCTTTTTTGCGCGGACAGCTGTGTTTACGTGTGTCAAATCTCCCATAGGAATCACACTTACAATTTGACGCGTTGTTTCTACATTTAAGTATTCCTTTTGAATCGCTACCCATTACGCCCTTGTGCATGTGAATGCAAGCGGCAATAGCTGCTTTTCATCTGCTCCATGCAAATACATACTTAAAATCATTTCTGGTTTCAGAGTTAGCTGTGGTGTTCTTTGTGGTCACGGTTTGTGCAAAATCACAATACAAGGTATAGCAAAGTTATCCTCATGGCTGACTAGGTGTTTTTGATGAATTTCATTTTTTCATGGTTTAATTTAATGGGTAATTTAAACATTAATATGCAATACGAACCTTTCTCACCAAATCTTACTACAGAATGCGACACACTTTTCTTTTGACTGGTTTTAATCCCGGACCAATGGATGCCTATGAAGCGATTGTGGAGTGTGCAATGAGGTTTGGTTCGGGGCATTTCTCCTCTATGGTTATTTATTAGGTTCATTATTCATCTCCCTCTGAACAGTACAAACCTTTATCAGCTCAGGTTTGCTCTTACATTTGTATCTTTGTGTTTTTGGGACAACAAGATTTAACTATTGGTGGTTTTGTTTCACTGTTTCTTGAAGATGTTCATGTTTCCTAGACTAAGACCATAAATTAATACTTTTTGTTGTACTCAGAATTCAACAAGTTCTACAGTCCACGTGAACTTGACTCGTCGACTTCCCAAAGAAACGGCGATTCAAAGATCCCAAAGTTTATGTCCAAGGGCTGCAACTAGGTTACAAAGTCCAAGAAGTCTTTCACCATCTCATCGTCTGCTAAAATCTAGCTCAAACAATTCCATTCAAGTTAGTGGTAAGGCCTCTGCCTCTTTGCCGCATCAAAGGAAGGCGATCTCTTCAATGTGTCTTGCGTTTCACTAATCCAATAGCTTTAAACGGGACGTGTTGCTCGTCTACACTGCCTTCTGACAACTCCCAGCAATATCCGTACTTCCTTGGTGTGTTCCACGGCGGAATTTATATCTATCGGGGTCGTCTACGCTTGGAGTATCATCCATGGTCGGCAATCGTGAAGATGGCCTATCGACGTGCTTCATTCCGACTGTATTTACGGCTTACCAACTCCGAGGTGAGGTCCATATTTTAATGACTCTAGAGCCTGGATTTTAATGCACCACATTATTCGGTCTTCTACTTTTAACGAACAAAAAATAACTAAGTTAAAAATTTTCCTTTATTCACAGATCGTTTATGTTAACTATAACGTTTACAGTGAGAATTGGACTAATTTAAGGAATCCCAGTTTGATTAGTCACTGTGGCAAGATGAATGAACAGGATAGATAAAAAATCAACCATTTTTTGCAATGAATCTCAATTCATGAATCCGGCTCTCATCTCCTAACTTACAAATCCTGTCCTACAACCGTATGCATTCGAAGTTCAATGTAATCAAAAGACGCATTTGTCTCTTCCCAGGAAATTGCTTTTTTCTGCCATTCCAATCCTTTTTTACATTTCAAATAATGTTTAAACAGATGCAATGTTCGAACTAATTTAGGTAGTTGTTGAGAACCATTTTATGATTTTTCAAAACCCCAAGTTTATAAGCACATTAAAGGTGCAGAAGTAAAGTGTACCTTCACACAAAGTATGCGCACACATACCATCACGTAATGGTCTGAATATCAGGTTTGGCATTTAAATGTGGAAACGGCACTTTAAGTTGATAATTCTGCTTCGTATTTAACCTCTGCTACACATTTTTTTTTTCAATTTCGCTCTTTGAAAAGATAAAATTCATCAAAACACCTAGTCATCCAAATAACATCACAGCTAACCCTGAAACCAGAAATGATTTTAAGTATGTATTTGCATGGAGCAGTTGAAAAGCAGCTATTGCCGCTTGCATTCACATACACAAGGGCGTAATGGGTGGTGATTCAAAAGGGATATTTAAATGTAGAAACAATGCATTAGGTTGTAAGTGTGATTCCTATGGGAGATTTGACACACGTACACACACACACACACAGCTGTCCGCGATAAGTATAGGCTATTAGGAATCTGAAATAGCTAATAACGTCAATTTACGCGTCTTAAGCAGAAGAGAATGACGAATAAGCGAGTGCTGCTGATGTGCTTTGCAGAAGGATGGGATGATTCGCATGGTCAGGTACGAATGTGGCACAACGGCTCTAGCGAAACGCATCTATCGTTCCTGCGTTGATCACCATGCTCTCTTTCGGTGAGTCTCGGTCTCAACCACCGATACCTAACTCCATTTCTTCAACATCTCATCACTTTCAATTACAAACATATTTTTATCTATGCTAATTGGCTTAAACACAAATCCTGGTCATTTCTATGGTAGGAGGTGCCTACTTTTTAAAATATGTCTTGTAAGGTATGGTTTAAGTGAGGTATTTTCTTAAATCTATCTTTCGACCCTTGAATTTTCCAATAGAGAAGAAGCACTTTTCCATTTAAGTACTGCACTGGTCGGTCTGGATCATCCTTTAAATCGGAAGCCATTCAGAAGGTGATAATTTTAACGAAAGTGTCATGTAGAAATGTTCTTTGATTGTTCTGGGATTCCAGTGTTAGAATGAACCAGATACTACTGGAATATTAGACCCAAATCTTTGGCACAGCATTGGAGTCTTGGGATTTATGAGGCAAAACCAATGCTTGGTTGCATTTCTGTCGCACGCATCGAGTTGTTTTCGCCTGTCTAGACGCCAAGTGTACGTGCACAATTTACCCGTGTGCCAGAAACCATCAATTTCTAAAACAGTTTGAACTATTTTCGAGGAAATTAGAGGATCAGTATTATCAATATTTGCATTTGTGAACTACTTTTTACCTCAATATACGAAAAAACAGCAAATAATTTAAAGTTAATACTGACTGATTTCTCATTTCTCACATTTTTAATGTTGGTTAAAGAACGATAGGTAGGTCATAGATTTCGGCTGTGTGTAGTCTTGCCTGTGAAGTGTACAAGTGACATGCGCGACTTTTTCAAGTAGGTATTTGAGCTACTATGGGTTAGATGTAGTTAAACGTGTATGCTTTCCTAAATCTTACCTTTGCATCATATTTTGTCTAGCTACAGTGAAGTCATGGTATCGAGCCTACTAAATGATTTGCCAAATACTTTGAGCGTGGGTACGTGTAAATACCCTTCACCGTCACCAGCTAGTTGTACCTTTATGTTCGTTCAGCTGAATTTGCATTTATCTTAGATTTTCACTTGTAGTTGAAATCCAGTGCCAACTTATCAATAGGGGTCATTGAAATCGAGGCAGAAACGTCTTCAAACCACTATTTCGAATCATATTTAGGTGGATTTTGATTTGTGCATTATTATAATTCACCTCAACTTTTACCCATTTTTTCAATTGCATTCCTAGCTCCTAGGGTCCGCGTTTTTTCCTCACCATTGACAATTTTTATTTACATCGGAGTAGAGCAATCTGCAGCGATTTTTTATTTAGGCAAAGGAGTCACTCGATCTAGACCTATTGTGTTTAAAATCCATTAAGTAACAATTTTCTTCGTCTTTTTTACCCTATTTAGCAACTGAATCGTTGCATCAAATGGGGGCTTGAACAGTCGTTGTCAAGCTCCTGGCCTGCATAGCTCACGGTTTGATTTCATTTTTCTTTCCATTTTAGCTCTCCGTCTCTCTTTCTAACCCCATGGTTAAAGTTTTAAAATGCTGTTCTTATAATATACCAATGAATAGGAGATCTTGGAGATGGTGTTTCAGAAGAATGGGTTTAATTCTCTTGAGAGTCTATTTAAATTTGAGATTTGTGCAAGTCACTTTTTGGTCGTTGTGTTTGGGATTCACGTAAATTAACCGCTTACGTATTTCTTGGTTCATCATCTACTTATAAATCCACTTTGGTATGGTTTTGATATGGGTTTAAGACACATTCTTTGCTACTCAAATTTTGATTTTCCTCCTCCCCACAGATTGCATCGATTGGAAGGAGGAGAGAAGGCAGTTTCATGGACCTCTCGAGAGCCCTTTCCGTTTCCCACGAGCACGAAGCTGAGGCGGCTACACCCTACTACCGCCACTGGCTCCTTATCGCCAACCCCCTCCTCTGCTGCTGCCGTGGTCAGCTCCCCCAACAGCGTCGCGATCTGCACCGCCACGTCTCTGGATGCCGGACTGCGGCCTCTTAGTGAACCTGACGTTCGGGGGCCACGCGCTGGTGAGCTGTTCTGTTTGTATTCGACTTCACATACATTATTTGTTCGTAACTCACTTGAAAGGTATCTTGCTATTAACTTCTACTTTAGCTGGATGACCCGGTTTCCTTATCGTACTTTTAGTGGTTGTAAAACTTAATATGTGAAATTTTACGTAAGATAAGGGAACTGATTTCATTGATGCGCCAGGTGTTGTGGTCGAAATGTGGTAGTGTGTAGCGTAAAGTCACGTCGTAGGGCTGTCAAGCCTTGCATTGAAAAGTGGAGAAAGAAGCAAAATGTTAACGTATATGGAGCGTCTCTTTAGTATTTACCGAACACTCCTTGCTTTTGATCTGAACGCGACTTCTTGTTAAAGAAGGTAGCAGATAGACATTGACGATAAGCCGCAAACTTGTAGAACATGGAGTAGGAGCAAAAGTTAACGTATTTAGCAACTACAATTTAATAGTAATGGGTGATAAAGGGTAGAGTAACCGTCTTACTAGACCCTGAAGACTGCCACTGCCCATCCCTACATCATATACCAAATCTTCTGAAGGTAAAATAGGTCACGAGACATCAGGCTTGTAATGAAGGGGCTATTGTCAGATAGAGAGATGAGGCGTCGGCTGATGACTTTTTGCAGAAGTATCACCACCGTTGGACCGCCGGAATGGTGTTATTCTCCGCTCAGCGCACAAGCTCTTCCTCCGCCTCTTCCACAAGCATTCCCTCTTGCCACTGCGCAGAGCCTCCCAGCCCCTCTCCACTCGCCATCTCCACTCCCCTCTGTCCGATCGGGCTCTTGCTCAGGTCTGTATTCACATCACCGTCTATCTGACTGTTTACCCGTCTGACTTATGCAGTTTATTTGTCCGTCTCACTTTCTGGAATCTTTTACTGTTTACTTGTTGCCCTACTAATATTATCTATCTCTGTTCGTTACATCATCTGATGGTCTGTCTACCACGTACTCAACTTTTTGCTAGCTTTGTACAACCCAAGCCGAGTTGATGCTCCGCAATGTGTGTTTTTCATTAGTCAATCACTGGGCGTTGCAACATTTTCTTGAAAGCAGAGGAATTTAATGTGCTACATATGGTAGTCTCATAGTTACTAATCAGCACTATTCGATTTTTTATTTTATTCCTGTTTGTGCCTTCAGGTAACTAACGGCTCTTCAAACAATCCGAGTTTCATTTCGCTTCAGTTGTTAACTGCACGCTCACTAAAAAGTAGACTTGACTTTGATAGCCCTTTTATAGTGTATCTTTGTACCTCCAGCCATCCACAACTGATATTTTCTTCTTCTTCTTCTTCACAACTGCCACAAATGTAGCGCTCCGGGTGTTTATTAAAGGAATTGAAGGGTAATCCAGTATATTTTTTACTTAGCCTACAGAGCGTCTAGGAGATTATAGATGCAGGCAGAGCTCCATGGGATCAAAATATTAACCAAACTCCGAGACTCTATTGCTAGGATGTAGTCAAAATTATCCTGCTGCATTTAGACAAGTTTTAAATATGGCATTTAAGGAGCACTGATCTAGAGTCTGTGATCCGAAATCGGACATTGTATGTTCTTTATTAACCACACAAGTTTTTATTTATCCGTCTGTTCACGCTGTCAAACTGTCTGCATATCTTAAAGGCTGATTTTTTGTGGGTGTTTTGTGCGGATTTTGCTCCAAGAATGGGTAATTTGTTGTAAACTTAATTGTTTTTGTGAACGAATGATGAATATTCATTTTTTCACTTGAAATCAAAATTTAACACCTACACCAATGTTGTGGGGGTTAGGTACCATATTTTTCTTGTTAAAAGCCCATATCCTTGAAGTTTTGCGCTCAGAAAGGCTGGTTTACTCCAATTTCGAATAAAACATTAGCCATTTAAGATAGCCAGCAGGGATAACCAAATGATGTTTAATCACAAATTTCAAATGCCTTTTCCAAAGGAACTCTTCTAACTTATGTTTGGGTTTGATGTACTGAAAAAGGCTACTAATAGGTAACGGTAAAGTTGGTCTTTAAAAGTGTCCTTCCTATTGTATTTATAGTTGAATAACTAATAAGAGGGAATTTAATTCCTACTGGCTTTATCTGTAGCAGAGCAGAACGAATACTGAACGAAATGTTTATGTTTTACAAGGCTTTCTAAAGTTTGTTTTCCATATTTCCTTTGACACAATTAGTGGCTAATGAACTTGTAACCATTAGTTGTCTCAGCGTGTCACGTGACAAGTTTGATGCCTTTGCACAGTAGTGTGCATAAAATTCTCGATTTTGAGATGAAAATGGCTAAAAGGCAGAATGTGCAACAAAAGCTAATAAAGTGAAGATGTTTTTACCAACAAAAAGGCCAAAACTTCTTGAAAACTAACAGGAATGTGGAGGATTCGTCACAGATGTAATGCGCCGTGGCATGTTTGAAAAGGCAGTCTTTCAGGGAACGTGAATCGTTACGTTGAAGAAAATAGGTAACTCTCTTACATGTGTAGGTTCATACAGCACGTTAGCTCAGAAATGGTGCTCCATGGTATCCACTTCGTTTGTTCCACCCAAGCCACGATTATACGAAGGTGTCTATTTCATTGGTTGAGTACTTGAGAGAGAGAGAGCAATCGCTGATAATGCCATGACATTGCCACGAAGTGGTGTAATTTGCTTTGAAAGGAAAGTAACGTAGAAGTGGTGGTAGTTCATCAATCTAGTAATTTTCTAAGTTGATAAACGGCATCTTTCTGCTTAAATGTCAGTGCACTTATGCATTCGAATGTTTGTCTAAATACTTTATTTATTGGTTTACCAACGATTTATGCGGATGGATGCATGCTTTTTGATTTTATTACACTGTAACAAGGTACAACACTTTATGTAAAACCTGTTTGCATTCTTTAATCACTTTTCTCTGTCTAGCCATTCTTTTTTGGTATGCTCCATCCAAATGAAGAGGGTTTGCGGAGTGGGTGTAGACTTATTTTGTAGAACTGATATTTCCCCTTCTAGTCGATGGAATCAGATGAACAGAGCACGGAGTTGGGCGTTCTGACGCTGGCAGAGGGCTTTGAATCGACCTCCTTTTCAACTGCCACTGCGGCATCTGCCTCACCGTCCGTACCACCTTTTTACACTTCCTCCGAATGGAATCGACCCCCGCTGCCAGGTCCGCTGTGGCGTATGAGCCCTGTCGATGCAACTGTTGGCTTGCTCTTTGAGCCCACTGACGGTCTGGTGAGTCATTTCCGTGTCTCTGAAGCACAGAGGTGTCATTCACTCTTCAGAGCGTAAAATGGGAACGGGTTCTTGTTTATCAACATAGACGGTCTCTCGAGATTGGAGGCTTGCTATCTGTCAGGAAGAGGCAGAAGGGACGCCTCCCACCGAATGGCGTGGTTGTCGTGCCACCTGGGGTGTCTCGGAGAGCCCACATTCCTCCAACACTGTCCTCTCATTCGGTCCACGTCGATTATTCTTCGAAGTGCGTCTGAATGGAAACGAACCAATTCGAGTTGGTTGGGCCACTGAGGCAAGCTTATCAAGGAACAATAATAATACAACTTTAAAATTCCTTACAATTATTCCTAAGCTTCATTTACATCTTTTTTTATCTTAGAACGCCAGCCTCATTCTCGGTGAAGATACGCAGGGGTTCGCCTATCAGACATCATCCATTCTCCCTTTGCTAAACGAAAACACGATGAATGAGGGTTGGTTCAAGGTTGCGTCTGGTGGGGAGGGGGGAAAAGAGAGTCAGTCACACTCCGGCTCACTGATAATTGGTGGCGCCAGTGTCGATGTGATCGGCTCAGGCCAGGGTGATGTGATTGGTTGCTATCTTGACCTCGACGTTCGACTGGCTCATTGGACGAAAAATGGTGTAACTGCTGCCGATATGACTATTTCTATCGCCCGATTCCCTTCAGGAACAGTTTTCTTTCCGGCTTGTGCCATTAGAGTGGGTTTGCGACCTTACTTCCAACCGCTACTTTGCTAAAAATATGTATTCGGATTTGGTGTTTTCTAATCATTAGAACTCTTCCATAACTTTCAATTTTGGTGACACACCATTCGCTTATGGACCAATGCTTTTGACCGGGGAGCACTCGAATTCGAATTGGTTGCCACTGGGATCAGCCAATCTCATTGCGGAAATAGCTGGTTGGGACTCCACCAGCCCCACTGCAGCGAGCCATCTTCCAATTCGTCTTACTCCAAATCCTCGCAGTGGTTGGCATCTTATTTCCAGCAATTCTCCCGGGTCTATACTCTCTCCCGACGGACTCTGCGTTCGTGCTCTTCTTCATTCTGGTTGGCAGGTCAGGAGTGTTCACATTATGAGGAATTCAGCTGAATATGGCGTATCCCTCAACTGAATATTATTGGCAATTAAACCATAGTGGAGCCTTCGTATACTTTCAGATATTTATGGCTCATGTTATTCTAAAAGTGGGAGCTCCGAACGTAGTTCACTCCCGCAGGTTGGTACATGTCGTTCTTCTTCTTGCCTTGATCCTTGTGCTCTGCAACCACTTATTTTTGTACTAATTTAACGCGTTTGAAATCCACGCAAAATGGACAGCGAAAGTATGAAAGGCTGGCAAATTAGTTGTTAACAAGGCGAAATTCATGACCTGTTTCTAAAGGCAATGTTGTAGAATGCTGATCCATATTCTACCAAAGGCATATTTCACACAATGGCCGCTTTTCAAGTTAAACGCAAACTCACGACAAGAATAAATAATGAAGAAAAATCTATGACATTTGGTATGCAGATTGAAGTCGGTTTTGCTATTTTTTCACTACTTCGATGTTACCTTGCTGTAAACCTAGGTTACCTTCGGATTTCCACAAACGCGAGTGCATTCTACATGCTTGTTGGATTCTAAAATCGCATTTACCTTGCAGACTCTTCGAGCCTCGGAATCGATCCCACCTTTGATAGAGGTGGCGACAAAGAACTCATCGCATTCAAATTCTCAACTTCCCAGTGTTTATTTCGAGGTGCGTCTGTTGGAGTCCCTGAGTGCCACGCCCGGAGCCGGTGTTTTCGTGGGATTCTCCACATCACCCTCCTCCTCTTACCCTACCACCAATACCACCGCCATCTCTTCTGCCTTTCCTATCGGCTCAGAATGTGTCAGTACTTTTGGGATTCTTTCCGAGCAGATCTCAAATAACCAAACATATCTGGTTCATGCGGGAATTAAGCGACCCTATGGGAAGGTCAGTAACTTTTCAGCTGCTAGTTTCGTTGTATTAGATCACAGATGTATATTTCAAAATTGCCTTAAAGCTTCATGCTGGAGTTATTTGTTCACCGTTGAACCATTTTTCAACTTGTTATCGCATTCAATTGTACGTCGTATTGAGCACCAATTTCATAAAAAAATCTATTTACTTGAGTTCCTTTTTGTCGAGCTTATTGTTACTTGGATTAAACTACGAAAGCTTTGGAATAGGATATTGAATCTTTTGAGTATGTTGGTTGGCGACCATTTTTGTTTATTTATTCCCGAGACGCCTCAGTCACAGAAATCCTCCATTATGAATAATAGGATAGAGTTTTTGCATTTTATTTAGGGCATTTTTATCAAGGGATCTGAGTTGACTGCTGAAATCAGGTGGTTTTTGTAGAAAGTCGGTATCGTTACATCTTTTCTCAACTGCGCTCAAGATAAATGGCTTCCATGACTTTTTGATTTTTGCATTTGTTCAAGAAACATAGTTATGACTAGATAGTTAAAATCATTGCATAAAAGATCAAACTGCCTTTTGGCATAAAGTTCCTACCAGTTGCCCCTCCTTAACACCAGGGACTACACAAGGGCGACATAATCGGTTGCACTCTGAACTTACAAATCGGTTTGGTCTTCTGGTCCGTCAACGGTGAATGCCTTGGCTATATAGTGCAGATCTGCGCGTCGCATTCGACTATCAGTGCTACCACCACCAACGCCACTGGCGACGACGTGATTACCATACCTCTGAGGAGGGATCAGCGGGGTCTCCCCTTCACTCCCATCTTCTGCCTTGCCAACACCTCCGTCGAGGTGAACTTCGGCGATGGAGCCATGCCTCTGAAGCACATCAATAAGGTAGTCCAGGGCAAGAAGTTGTCCTTGAAATACTGTCACTGTGATGGTGGATCCATGAGTGGTGACATTCCAGATGTTTCTACCATACCTTCATTCTATTAGTCATTTTTATACACCGTCATATTCCCCCAGCCTACTCGAACTTGAATCCAAGCCTTTTTTTACAATCTCAAATCAACAAATCCTGTAATTGTGCGTTGTTCCAATTTACGGAATATTTCAAGATCTCCGTCTTTGCCTTAATAGTTGGCATTTTCACTAGGTTGGAGAAAAACCATTGTTTAATATTATAGTAAACTTTCAGTTTTAAATAAAACTAGTCGTTTAGTCCTCATTCTTTTTCTCTAATCGTCAGTCTTCTAGTGATCAAATTTCATCTTGATCCACCTATTTTCGGTTCATAAACACGATAGCTTAGCAAATTTGTTGCCACTGCCACAGTACTTGGTTGGTAGGGCTCTTTCATATTCAAAGCAAAGAATTCTATTGTTTCACATGGACTTTTTTTCTAAATTTGTTTCAGTTTAACGCATAAAGCGTCAGATTTGTTATAGGGACTGAAACGTCTCTTTTTTATTTTGAACCAAAAGTGTCACATGATTCATTTTCAGCATGAGATTATAGAAAACTCTGAAGTAAGCTTAAACGATTTATTCATTTTATCTTAAAAAGTTAACTAGCAAACACATGAGACAAATAGTCTGCTCAAAAGGCGTTTTTACTAATATCCCTACAAGAGAATAAAAATATGCAGTGATTGTTAGGTTGGTCAGTTTAATGTGAGCAGTTTTTATTGCTTGATTTTCGTAATTCCTTAAAGCACACCAACTGCATTCCTCTGTGCCACTATCAACGCCTGCTAGATGGCTGTAGTCTGGTGCAAAACCTCCCATCATCACTTCAAGCACCGCATTTGGCTTCACAAAAAAAGGGATCGCCGCCAAACCACCGACATCACTCGTTTGCTCATTGCCGTGTCTCAGTCAATCAGAGTGGGGGAAATGGCCATCTATCCCCTCATGCCTCCCTTGGAGTTCACAAGTCCGCCTCTTGTCTCTCTGCTCCCGCCGCCGCTACTATGGTAATTTCACTTGTTTAGGAAGAAGAGTTAAACAGCTCTGAATAAAGTGTAATCAGAGCCAAGCATACCTTTGATGCACGCAGGATTAATTCTAATTTGTAGCTCCGTTTCATTTTGACATCGTCCCTGGAGTAAAATAATCAGATGTAGAGCACCCCATTCACTATCAAAGACGAGTCTGTGATTACATTTATCATAACAAGGTAGAAAAGTTGGGAGATTGTTAGTGTAAGCATGAACCAGAGGCCCATGTTGCCGTTGTAGGGTTAGCAACGCGAGAGACCTAAAAAGGATTCTCGTGATTTTATGTGAAACAAAGTCATTCTGTTACATGACCCTCAACACCCTCCCCTTGGTATCGGCGGCACTTCCAGGGTTATTTCCCTTGCGTCATTTGTGAAGTGACTTCAGAACGTAGCAAGGGTACGATTCATCTCGTAGATTGCGGTGGGTTTCATCGTCTAAACCCTTTATTGCTAAACTGTATTTCAAATATTTATCTTGGCGATTTTGCCCAAGGCTTGGATGTCTTATTATATGGAGTCTTTAGAAAACGTGCTCAGTTACGAAGGAGCTTTTTTTACTCCTTGTATCGTTGCCGCTTGTCAGCTTTTGGCGCTGGGTTTGCATCGTAGAAACGCAGTCTGTTGGCAAAGTAGATAAGCTCTGAATCCCTACTATCTGCTGCAGATGTAATCGTCGTCATGCGTTTGAGACATCCTGTATAAAAGAACATGAATGTTTTCATGGCATCTCGATTTCTGTTAAGGTAGGGCTTTTTACTACTAAATGAAAGATGTATGATAGGATTAGCATTTGAAATTCACCACTTCATCAGTCTGTCTGTTTCTTATATGTAAACCTACCCTATACATGACCTTAATATTGGCAGAAGGCCTAGACTTAAGCCTTAGCGTTAGCGGATGCCGTATATCTAGTGTTGAAGCATCTTTGATTTCCTTCCTTTTACATCAGCAGAATCTACTGGTTCCAACAGATATCTTGGACGCTCTTACCATTCTGCAATCAAGGATCCCACTGGTCCCCGTGACGACTCGTCTTTGGCGCCGCGATTCTGCTGAACCCGTGCCACGGAAACCAATCACCTCACCAACCTTCGCGGCTCCTTGGTCACGAGCCAATCAGGTGCTGCCAATCGTACGCACCCATCGTATCGCCGTCTCCACATGGCCTCCAACCGCTGGCATCCTGGAGACCGATATTGACAATGACTCTGCATTGTCATCAGCGGCGACAGCGATGAGGGCGATTGCGATGAATGGTAGTCTCCGTCGCTCTGCTTCGGATAACATGCAGCGAGCTCTGGTTCGTCACCTCTGTGGGCAATCGCGACAGAATAGCGTCTCCGCTGCCGACCAGTCATCATCCTCCTCGCTGGTTGAGGTGAGGTCCCCTTTTCCATGTCTGCCTCGTTACGAAAACTACTTTTTCTATTTAATTGTTTTTTTTTTCGAAAGCGGCGCATGGCACAAATCCCGCTGGTCCCAACTCGAATTGTTCACACGCGGGCTTATACCAGCAAACCATCGGTGCTCTGTTCCCCAATTGAGCATGAGGAGAACAAAAATGAAGCGAAGGAATCGATTGTCATGACTGTATGTTCGTATGGTTCCTCATTTCTTTACCTTCCTCACCTAAATAATTGGACACCTAATCACTGTCGGACTAGATTTACCCCTTAGCTACAGGAATCTAGAAACAGTCCTTTTGGAAATGACACGTGGGTTAGTTTTAGTCAGTGACATAGTTGATAAGTGTATGGGAATGTAATTGTCACTTAGTGAAGTACAATTGTGGATTTTTAAGGACAATCAAGGACATTTGCAGCGATTGCGGCGATTTATGAGGAAATATTATAAAACACTAGAAGGTAGAGCAGCCTGTGAAAATCGAGGATATTTCGCAATCATTTTTCTAAGTGATCTGAGATCTATGGGCTGGCAAATTTAAAGTGATTTAATCGTGGAAGATTTTCAAGTAGTGCGCTGCTAAACCACAAATGTACGGCATTGCATGCCCATCGTGTTTATCAGCAAATATCCTCGGTCCACTGAATTGGGGTCACGCTGATTCAAACCGACTGTCTGATTTATTAAACATAATTTTTCGTTTGAGAACTCCGAAAGAAACCTTGATTACCTTTTAAAGGTGCACGATGAATCCACTAACCGAAGTACCTCAACAACTTTTTTTCGCTTCAGGATTTGCATTTTTCTTCAAGTTATCATGTGTAAATTGCATCCCATATGTGATGAAGTACGTTTAAAACGATTGATAGATATTTAAAATTGCTGACATTGAATTTCGTATGCGCACTCGAAAAACATACCTTACATACTCCAACTGGTACAATTTACGGTAAAATCTAATTTACAGCCAAGCAACTTCAAACATCTCTAAGGCAAAAGTCATAGCTCCGAACTCTGCTAAATATTCATAGAAGCAAGATATTAAGTACCCATATTGGGTTTCTTTTTTCCAAAACTTGGCGTCATTATTAAAAATCCTAACTTTCCAGTCGACCAAACTCATCAATACTTCATTCCAAAGTTTTCCTCTTTAGGCATTTGTGAACTTGAAGTGTGATCTCCTAACTTTAGAGCACGTAACTAGTTTCATTTGAGCAATAGCAGGTGCCCCAGCTGCCGCAGTATAAGAAACCTAATCTTGGAAAATTGTGTATCTTGCCTCCGGCACGAAAGTGGGCTTTAAGTCAACAATCCTATGATGTGGGGAGATCAGAGGTACTTAAACTAGGGATGTTAACTTACACTTGCCGTTTACTGTGGTGCACATTGCCAGCCGATCACACCTAGACAATCCAGCTTTACGATCTCGCTTTAAAACCTCCCCTGAAAGGATATGCTACTTACGAAGTCTGACCTACGTTCGCAATGATCTTACCGTAGAATCCCACCTCATATTGAAATCCGTCTTCGATACTCGGTAAATCACGATGATTGAGAGGCGACAGCGTTTCAAGGGGAAATCTCACGTTGTGATGACTTGGGTATACGCTCCTTACCACTCGTCCATGTGTAAATTCAACTCAAATCACCTTTAGAGGAAAAATAAAGCTAATTGACTAATATACCTTCCCACATCCAATTTTAGGTGGAAGTTGGTGAAGAAACAATTGCCAGACGACGCCATGTTACGGACCCAACTCTACCTCCCTCTACAGCTGAGGATGACTGCTACATCACCAGCCCACCACTAGCAGAAGTAGTGTGATCCACCCCATGCGTTCACCTTCGTCCTCTAATTGGTTTCATGTTGTGGTTTCACACCCCTGAGGCTCTGTAGCCAGGATATTTCGTCCCATCTTCCTCTGTAGATATGCACACTTCACCCTTTTCCCTTCCCTCCCTCTACCTATCCATTTCTTTTGACGTAAACTTTCGTTTGGCTCTTGTTAACTCCTATGTTTAACGTAGGTGGTTCGCTTAATAATCAAAGACAAATCATTTAAAAACCTTTGGTTAACACAAACACGAGTGATTAAAAAAACTAATTATAAAGATCATTCAGGCGCTGTAGTTTGCTTTTTATGGATTGGAGTAGCACCAGTGATCCGTTACTCAACCATGTGTCCTCTGTCTTGCAAACCTTTATTTGTCGGATGATATTGGTCGTTTCCGAAACGGCATCAATCAAGCTCCTACTTATATGCGATTTTCGCCTAAAACCGCTGAGTAGCGGCATTGCGAGTGAGTAAACTCTGGCAAAGGACTCATTGAGGCATTGAGTTTGCAGGCGGGAGTCCTCATGTGACAGCTGTAGAAGCCGAGAAATGTGGTTGAGTAGGTGTTCAGTCAGTGAATTAGCAGTGCACAAAGTCCCCACATCATCAGCGTTTTCATAAGTGAATCGCAAATACGACTTTACAAAGGACTTAACAGGATATATCCAGCAGTTGGAGCAACCCCCTTCCTTTACACTGAAAGCAGAGCTAAGCATAAATGCAAAGCATCGGAAAACTTCGGCTGTAGAAAGTTCTTCTGTGTCCAACTTTGCAACTATTTCACCGGTAACTTTGAATGCGTCAGAGGCCTCTGCATGCAAACGCGCCACTTGATTTAGGAGACTCGTTTCTTTCAATTCAACGCAGCATTTGTCCATCCAGAAAAGTGTTTTAACCAAGATAAACAGTCCAGGAACAATATATTTCTCGCGAATTGGGTCCTTTGTTTCCAGAAGACCGCGAAAACCGACGCGTATCGAAATAACATTTGCAGTGAGTTGTGACAAAACACTCTCCTGGGAGTCCAGAGAAAGCTCACAATTATAAGGGCCAATGTGGTAATTTGTTGCATTAAAATCATCTACTAAAGACAACTTCACTTGATTGGCATGATAAAATGACCGATCTTTGTACCTCTGATAAAAACGATGTGACATTCGCAACCGTTTAGTAAAATCATCTGCTTCCAAATGTGTTGGACACGCATGGAGAATAGAAAGTGCAACGCTCGCTTTAAATACCTGTGTAAATAACACTGACTTCAAAAAGGGATCAGTTACAAATCCTCCACTCAAGTCTTGCATTGTTCCTCAGACAGTGGTAGCCTACATTGAAAAACGCGGGTGAGGAGGGACAGCTATGACAGAAGGAAAGTCTTGTATTAATTAAATAGAGTTATGCTAAAGGAGTACTGAACCTTAAAATAATATAAATGTACTTAGGCTAGAACTTTGATTGTGCCCTAAAGTAGATACGGAAACACGAGTTGATTGTCCAAGTCTCTACTAACGTACGCCCAAAAATACAACTAGAAAAAAACTAAAAGAAGCTTGACAGCATGTAAGTAGTAATATATCAACTTATTCGTGCATTCGAAGATGAAAGTAGTAATATTAAGTATATTATAAACCTATGGAACCGAGATAATTCCTAACATATTTTTTAAAGATGGAAAAAAGGAACAGCATTAAGCTTGGTCAGAAAAACAATGCATAGCTTTCTGTCCTTCTTGAATCCATAACAAATTACAATACATTGTGCAGTCTGGCCTCGTGGACCCTGCCACAGAGTAGCAACTCATTTTAGGCAGACTCGTGCTAGACAACGCGAATTTTTGTAAAACGATCATTAGCTACAGCAACACTGGATCGTTTTTGACGTTATTATGATTTATGGATATTAAATGACTTAAACTATCATTATAGCGTGGTTGGTAAATATAAATCACTATACCCTTCCCATCATCTCAGCTTAAACTTAAACTCTAGTATTAAGACCAAGCTCAAGTTGAAAAAAGGATGCTAACGGGTCAATTTGATGGCATACCTCCCTTTGAATGCTAAAAAATAGGACCTTTACTGTTGAATGTACTTGCTAATTTTTTAAACTAATTATATTGCCATTAAACGGGTAAGTGGCATTTTAATTAATTCGTTTGAAAGCACCACTTTGTTTGACACTGCTTTGGTTTCGGTTCTCTGGCCATTGTCAGCTTTGGATATGGCCCTGAAGAGGATTCACAAGGTGAGTTGTGGATTTGCTGAAGTCATTGTTGTCAACACAAAAGGAGTTATCTGATTTGGGTCGAGATCCACCTGCACAATGCTCGGCCGGTCCCGTAGGTGATGATCGTAAGTGTCTCCTACAAATAATGCTCACACCACTTTAGTGTTTCACTGGCAGGCAACGATAATGGGTCCCGTAAGTTGCCAAGGCATCTAACACGTGTTCTTTTACAGTCAGACAGTCCTTTCGAGGGGGGAGTTTTCTTCCTTGATATTCATTTTCCCACTGATTATCCTTTCAAACCACCTAAAGTAAGTTTCCAGTTTTCTGAAAGAATAGCTTTATTAGATCACATTTACCACTCGAATATACCATCCAAATATAAACTCTAATGGCAATATATGCTTGGATATTCTAAGGAATCAGTGGTCTCCGGCTCTAACTATATCAAAAGGTAGGTCCCGACTTTCTGGTAATTTGTCTTAGTGTTATTGTCGATTTGCTCCCTTTTAACCGACCCAAATCCGGATGATCCTCTCAGTCCGGATATTGCGCGTACATACAAAACAGATCGTCAGAAATACGACAAGACTGCTAAAGAATGGACTCAGAAGTACGCAATGTAGAACGGTTCTGCCTGGGGCTGAGCATTGTGCAACTGACGTTTCCTTTGAAATTTAGAAGTCTTGCTATATACTGCAATTTTGGCTTTTGATTGAGCTGTGAAGTATGTGGTAACTTCCCTAACCTATCATAATTTTGTGCGACGGCATACATCTTACTGCGTTTGGTGCAATGATAACGTTTACTGCCGTTTGAGTGTTGAGTAGTGCTTTTGTATGTTCGGCTACATTTCGCATTTTGATAATGCTTAGGGGTTTGTTTTATTGGACTTATTTATGCTAGCTTTCTTGAAAGCTTTTAACCCTTTTAAGTCATATTTGTCGAATCGTCCTCAACTTGGCCTGTTCAATGTGGTTTTGAACCATAGTCATTTGAACTTTGCTTGATATGCTTATGGGTAGTCACCCGCTGATCTCTTGGCATGTTCTTCAAGTGGACTTTGGTTTTGTTATCGGTATGTGCCTCGGTTTTGTATTTGACGTTAGTTCCGCGTCATAAACACCCAAAGTTTGCCTCACGTGATTCGTCCAACGAAGTGTTTTTTAGGCGTACTTCCGTTAGTTCGTATGGGTGCGTTGTCAGTTTCTTTAGCGTGGTGCTCGCTTGCCGCTGTGCCGTTGTACAATTGGCGGGTCCGCCCCACATAGATTTGCTTGAGGGTGGTTTTTGGTGGTGTCCAGATCAGTCGGCGGCGTGACCAGTGCTTTAGCAAGGATGGGCCGTTGGTAGTTTTATTTGATGTGGTCACTGCGCCTTTGCATTGGGATTGGGGCTATTGTGTAAGCATTAAGTGTTTCTTTTTTCTTTTACATTAACTGATTGTGCACAAGTGGGTCTACTGTTGGGGTTAGGGGCATTCACTTGCTTAACTTCCTGACTGTGGTGGGCCATCACGTGGTACCTGTTTGATAAATTCCAGGTTCTTTCTATGAGTACTGAGAAACATCACTGATATTGCTACTACTAGTTAACTCTACTTTGAAATGGGATTCTTTTTGCTCCACCCTAATTACGTTGCTGAACCGTAGGCAAATGAAGTATTAAATGTCTCAATTCCGTGAGTTAGATTGGTTATTCACAGCCTAATGACTCTTCGAGCCATCGATTGGTACCGGATAGGGTGTTTCAATCTGAGGTGGATATTCTGCATCTTTGCCTTTATTTGCTCAACTGAAACAATGCCACCGGTAACGCATGCGGGAGGACTTTGTTGAATGCTAGGGTGACACTGAGGTGGAGGATTTTTAGATTTTGCGCTTTGTGTGCTTGTGTGAGCGTGTGGGTGTGAATGGAAATCATTACCAGCTGATGCCATTTACGATCACCTTAGCATCATCGACCGATGCTGTGGGCTTGCAGACACAGGAAGCACGCCACCAATCACCACGACAACCTCTTGCCCTTTTTTATCAAAGGTGGGGGGGGGGGGGGATTTCATTGATGCCATTGAGTAGCCTAGCACGCCAATTAGTGTCTTGCTTTTATACCAATCCCAAGGTCTTTATCTCTGTACCACTGATAAGTACTTCATCATGTGATGCAATTTCGTTTGCAGGCAGGCGGAATATGCTTTGACTGGAATGAACAAGTCGAAGCCCATTTAGCTGTTGAACGGACGTCCTCTTCTATCAAGCGCTGTCGACTTCGGAATACATTCGAGCTTTACTAAGTTTTATACTATGCCATCTTTGAGCATTTAATTTACATCGTCACAAAGTACGAACTGGAGTATATCGGTATCTGAGTTGCAACGCGGGTGGTAGTTGATCCCCTACAGTCTGTTAGGATAACCGCTAAATGGGTCTTACTCGAGTCGCTGAAAAGTCCTTGTGGATATTTGACCAATGGGAACCGATCCAAACTAAGGTCATCGTTTATTAGCTACACAAGTGCAGAGCGTTGCAGTTGGCCACTGAATCTATGCATTCTGAAGCCTGGACGTAGAAGCGTCAAAATTCCTGTTTGAAACGGCGACGGGGCATCGTCACAACGGCTCGATGGTCTTATACACAAATTAGCGGCATGGCTTTAAAAAGTCGCTCTCTGATACGGGAGAGACTTTTGTGGTGCAGGTTCACGCTTGATGAAGACCCTGGGTCCTCCATTTTGCTGCTGACTACCGGGGGAAAGGTAGAAACCCAACATAAATGGGCGGCACCCAACACTAGATGACCGTCTTAATCAGTTGCAGTGAATCTAGGCTTATTGCGCAATCAACCAAGAGAGTGTGGGAGCAACTCATTTTTCATTCCTAGGAAAAAAAATAAATACACTCGCATTTTTATCTCAACTCAATTGGTATCCCCGTTTGAATTTAGTGACAAATCCCCCACCACCTAGGGGCTCAGTAGTCTTTTTTGGCTAAAGCTGAGCTCACAAGTGAATCCAAATTACAAACTTTTATGTGCTGACGCTAATGACCAAATTTCTTCATTTGACAAAACTCAGAGGGACAAATTGGCAGTAAACGTTTGTCGCGATCGCAATACACTTTCAGGGCTTCTCTCCATAAAGACGAGGGCTTTCAGCTCTCATTCCGATTTTTCTTCCCATCAATCAACGTGAGTAAATGCATTGGGACCTTCTTTTAGCAACCGTGTGATTGATGCTGTAAGTTCAAACTAAATGAGCTGACAACATGCCGACTTTCACTTCATAGAACCCGTTTTATGCCATGCAATATCATCAAATTTCCAACTGCGTACTAACTTACAAGTTCGGAAGAGCTATGCTTTTCGTTCTAGCATTGTGGTGACGATACAAACTCCTCTTCATGTGCCAGACTCAGCCAAAACTATAGCATAACTAAGCTGGAAAAGTATTTTGGGAGTGGCACGTGACTAGCCCGAAAGCAATGGAATGCAGCAGTTGCGCACTACCATTCGCATCTGACGGAAGCGACAAGTTTCTAACATAAAAAACCTGTTTTTTGGACATAATTACTTTCCTGCATCCAAACACGACTCATTTCTGAAGCGTAAAATAAAAATTTTACTTTCCCGTCATAATAAAGAAAAAAGAACACTGGTATCGACTCATACTTTCAAACTGTTGCATAAACGTTTGGGAACACCAAGGTCGACATCACTCACAAACCTGATGTGTGTTGTTTTCCGAAATTAAGCGCGAAGCACATTAAACCGTAGAAAATGCGTTCTCAACGCAATTGTTACGGCAATTTCATCTTCACCAATGGCCTTCGCGTACGACACTGCGAGTTGATTAGCTAAGAAAAGTACCAATGACAGCAAGCCGCGTAAATTGAAGCAATCTGCAACTATGGCTACCATGGAGGAGCCAATCAGAACACTACAAAGTGCAGTAGAAAACAGATAATTTACCATTTAATTTAGCGCAGCAACTGCGAGCGCACACAATTAAACATTGCCGGAGAAGCAGTGAAAGCGTTTATGACCAGCAAATGTTTTATGCTTTACATCGGGAGAATTTGAGAGGTACTGCTCCATGCCGTCAGGAGGTCGGTGGATATATCACAGGGCGAATAAATTCTGTAGACATGGCGCTTATTCTCAAGAAGAAAACAGGAAAAATCATGAGTGTGTACGTAAGCTTCAAGGTGTGCTTCTCATGACTCCTGCACGTTAGGGTTGGTAAAGGTGGGTTAAACACAGACTAAACATAAAACCACAGCTGGTGGATTTACGTGTGATTTGACGACACTCCGAGGCCTAACGGTAAATGAGGCGCGTGGAAGTGCGGGACGTTCGGAATAACGCACTTCGCGAGCGAATGGAGCTTTCACCTTGACTCCACCGAGCCGCTATGCAAATGTATTTCATACTGGGTGCATTTCTTCAAATTGTAAAATTGTTTAGTTGGAGGTAAATTCATTGCCGAAGTTTAATATATGTCAGACATTTTTGGCGGTAAATCAAGTACAATAACCTCACTAACTTCAACCATAGAGCTGCTTTGCATTAAAAGCAATGGACGCAAATTGTAAGAAGTCTGAATAGTGCTTTCCTTCTTTCGAAAATGACTTTTGCCGTTCGGGTTTTTTGATTTGGGATTGAAAAGTGCAAATTAATTACATCCTGAAGTGAATGTAATTACGCATGTGTATTAAGATTGGCTTAGTCGTCTTCATGCAATACTGGATAATTAAGTGCAAAATAATGCCGCAAATTGTAGTTACTGCGTATCAACGACGTACCTGAATGGATATGCCGGTGTTCCGGTTGGTTTACATCAAGTTAACTTTGCAATATTCCTTTTCGGAGATTAGCATGACCTTGAGTCACTACCTGCTATACTTACTGTTTTTACCGACTTAAGTAAGTTATAGCCGGATTGTAATACTTATATTGTTTTAATATACATTTCAAAGAGGAGGCAAAGTTGCAATTCAAATCTGGTGACAGTGTCGGCGTCTCCCAAGCCTGAGAGCTATTGCGAATCCTCCCCTCACTAAACATTGTACTTTTTTTCCTGATTAACTTTCTTCTAATAAATGTCTTAAGCAATCCAACTAAATTGTTCTAAGAGTACGAGGAAGAGGAGTGAGGAAAACAACCAGTCTCGCGCCACAGGATGAAATGGCAACACCGAGTAGTTGGTATTCTTGGAGAACATCTTGATTTGTTTTCCATTCATCTCTGTATCAAAATATACTAAGGCCACTATATAGTTTTCCACCATCAGATGGTTAACGGTTCGTTGGTAAAACGGACTGAAAGGACAGAATCCTATGCTACTTGGAGCACATTTCGGGGATATGTGACTTCACTAAAAGTACTAGTGTTTAGTTGGCAAGTGTGAGGTTAGCTGATGCAAAACAGTGCGGTTACAAAGATAGCTACGATATATTTCACGCGATGTAAGTGGTCTTGCATGATCTATGTGAAGTAAATGCTAAAGTAGTGTGGGGCTAAAGAAAATTGCGCAGACATACACTTTACTTGTAAAAAATTAGTAGCAATAATAATAACTGTAAGGGTTGATAAAAATCTTAAAAATTCATTTATGATCCATAAGGGATTAATTGTCCTGTTTTCATTAAAACTCGAGCTTATTTGTTTGCCTCTGTTTAAAACAGAGGAAATGACTGCTAGTGTGGGTGCTCAGAGGGATCGCAATTCTGGATTCTTAATCTCCATAATTAAACCTGGTTCCACTTTTGGAAAAATGAAACAAAATCATCGGAATTTGGGCTAAAATGTGTTGCACAAACTAACATGACATAATAAACTACTTCATAAACTGAAATAGCCCGTTAGATTTCAAACAAAGCTTCCTCGCTTCCTCCTCCAAACGACGATAAAGCCACTCATATTTTATGGTGAAGTGATTCGACTAAACGCCACTGGAGAAGTTGAGAAAAAGGACGTTTTCTACTAAAAACTGACAACTTGATGATTACTACTAGTAAGTGTGTGGGAATTGGACTTAAGTAAGTCACTTTTTTGGCCTAATTGGAGCAGCTGAAATTGCGCACAATTTACGAAGAACTTGGCCAAAAGAGAAAGTAAAGAACATTCTAATACCATTGGATTAGGAGAACTCGGGTAATAATTCAGTCAAAATAAGTTCTCAAATGCAGGTTTCTATCTTTTTGAAATTTTTCTTTGACCAAAGACACAAACGAACATTTTCATCGTTTTAAGCTGCATTCAACGATGCTAAAAGTTTCCCATTCAGCTCCTATTTAATTCTTTCTGCTTATAATTAATAAATTCGTGCACACTTTTTTCCTATTATTTTGTTGAAGGTGGATTGGCTCGGTTACGCTACAATGTTTTCAAGGTGACCACAACATCGTGGTCCTTGCGCCTTATTATGTATCAGGTCTTACGAGAAGTCAAGGTTTCTTGCAGTCGTCAACTCATCTACACTTAATAGTAAGAAATAAAAGCCAAGAGTAGTAGATTGCCTACAGTGTCCACTTTAAAAGAGACCTATGTGTAATACGATAGTGGTTTATCCCTCGGTATTAGTGAGGCGCCACTTTAGTACTTTGAATTAGCCCCCTTGTACCTCGCGGGGTGGACTGGCCTTTTGGGCCATGCCAGTAGCCCAAGCACCTTCTCTGTGCTGAATATATACGTTCTGACCAAGTATTGTGTCTTCTCTTGCCTTCAGGGAGTCTCGGGACGCCACACTGGTGGCAGCGGAAAGCGAACCCGATCTTAAAAGACATGTTTCCTGATTGTCCACTTCTGCGTGATAAGCCTTAGTGGGGTGGAAGAAGTACATATGCTACGGGTGGGAGACTGGTGATGACCTTTAAGAGAAGGGTTGAAGTTGACGTCTTCCTCGGCATCCATCCCAATCTCGTTTTCTGCAGGAAAGCTATTAACAACTGAAGCGACACTAGCCGTGAACCATCTGGAAGTTTCGTTGCGGACTTTCCCTACCGTCGCCCATGCACCAGTATTAAATCCCGTCCTTCCTTCCACAAATCTACTTTAAGGCCAGTGTCCCTACACCCATCTATGGGCAGGCATGATGATTAGCCCAATTCCCCCGTCCTAAATCAGGTTCCTAAACCAGACAAAACTCCAGATCCAGTTAAGTTGCCAAGAGGGATCAGCGACGCTAATTTGGTGACTGGCACGGTCGGCTCGTGGGTGTTTCTTTACAGCACCGACTACGTTGTAATGGCTGACGTGGAAGATTGACGTGCGGGAGCGCCGGGGACGACGACACTCAAAAGAGGAGGGAGGCTATGTAACACGTTGGTGGTGGTTTATCCCTCCATATCGGTGAGGCACCACTTTTGTACTTTGAATTAGCCCCCTTGTACCTCGCTGGGTGGACTGGCCTTCGGCCCATGCCAATGCCCCAAACACCTTCGCTATGCTGGATATATATTCTGCTCGAGTATTGTGTCTTCTTTCGTCGTTTTCAGGGAGTCTCGGGACGCTACCTATGTGTATTATAATGTGTATAATAAGAGGTACAAGGCAGAGCAATTGACAATGATATAAGACTATCTGATTACTGGTGATAGGATGTGGCATATGGCGTTGGAAAGTTTTGGAACATAAATTTTTGCTCGTCTTGTGGTTTAGGCACCAAAACCCTTGACATTAATTTATAATAAAAAATGCAGTTACTAGTTTCACAAGATTTAACCAGCTTCGATATCGTCGCTTAATTTATGGGCTCGGGGTAAGCAAATGCTGGACAGAGTACTGAAAAACCTTGACGATTACCTGATCAAACTGTTGCCTCTACATATCCTAGAGATTAATAGATAGATTGTATGACATTCCCAGAGGTATGCCGATGGACCAAGGGGAGATTTGATAACCAACCGAACTGATTGGTTAGAAATGGGAGGCATAAGATCTAGAGATCCATAAATAGGTTACAGAAATCTTTTTTCTTCTCAAAAACTTATCCCACACATAATTAGCAAGTTACATTGCCCCTACTTTTATTAGCACAGCCATTATTTTGACAAAATCCTAAATCTTGGCAAATAGCTTTGTTCTGTTTATTTCCTTTGATAAATTTGTATATTAAAAATGCATATATGGGATGAAGTAGTAGTGACAAACCTGGACGACTGCGTTCGAGCTAATGTCTTCCTTTAGGCATTGGGGATGTGGAAGCGTGACACCGCGCACGCTGTGTCATACAAGAAATCACGGACACGCACGTTGGTGGCCCTCGGCTCGAGGTGGGTCCGTCTGTCTCCCACCTCTACCCTGGCTGTGCACGGCGGACATGGCATTATCAAAACATCTACGGAATGTCTCAAATTTTCCATTAAAAGTGGTGGATTTTTTAAAACAAAGGAAATACTGCTTTTATGATTTTCGCTGTGATTATAGACGTAAGGTAGAGGTGAGCCTAGAATTGAAAATAGCAGCTATTTAAAATACCCATTCACTGCATTATGTTCGCATACACACAACACAACTGGATAACGTGAAGTAATCTTTGCACATAAATGCATAATTCTGTGGTAGCCTTTTGTTCACGAATTACTACCTCACCCACATAGCCTATAACGTTTCCTTAAATGCTTTAGCAATGTTTGATAATCTAAAAAAAATCTTTGAATAACTAGGTACACGAATAAGTCCGGTTCACTTCAAGGCAGCTGACCGGCAGTGTATGTCCAAACTCCAAAATTTCCAAACTATGCGTATGATTACACGTTTATTGAACTACCCGCCCAAGTTTACAGTCGTTTAACAAATTACAAATGGTTTTATTGAGGCTAAGTGATTGTATATGCAGAGGTAATGTCAAAGGCGTTAACCGCTTTCATGTTTGCGAATGTGGGGAGGAACAAGCGTCCAGTGAAGTATTCAACGTCACTCAGAAAAGTCGATAAATTTTATTGACACCTTCAATGAATGGAGTTGGTCAAATTTGCTTGCGACCGCATGTGTCGTGGTCAGTGCGAGGGACGGAGATGCGCGAACGCGGTCTTTGGGGGCTGTGATTCTGCTCATAATCTGCTCGTACGGCCACGTGCGCAAACGGTCTGATTTGCTCGCCTGCCCTTCGCTTTTCATTGGACGAAGCGGCATCCTTGGACATACATACAAACCCTGGCTCAGTCATAGCCCTCGTGCCTCGTCCAATTACTCCGATGCGCAGACAACGGAAACTACTCCTGAGCATCCTCGGTCTGCCGTTCTACTTCCTCTTCCTATTCCTCGTCTACTCCCCCATCCTTAGAAACAGTATCCAAATAACTCCTCTGCTCTACCCTCCCAATGGTCAAAGTCTACGTCAAATCGGTCCTTCAGCAAATTTGGCAATTTTCAGCGTATTTCTTGATCGCAGAGTGAGCGACAATCAGACAGAAATCCGATCCTACCACGGTCACGTGAATGGCGTTTTGCGGATCATTCTGGTGAAACGACGCAGCTTTCAGCCCCGTTTGCATTGCCTCTTTGCTGACGGGACCAGCGTCCCGACGCGAGATTTGCATGGAAATCCATTTGCCTTCTATGAATTGACAGAAAATCATCAACGTCTTTACGGTGGCTATTCAGTTCACTGTGACGTGCCCCCATTTTCTCAGCTTATGAGAGGTGTAACAATATGGGTGGACGGTCCGGAGTATGGTAGAACTGTATTACCAGTTATTCATGCCAATGCTTCCAAGATTGAAACTCTACCATCCCAACAATCACCCATAACCACGCCCCAATTTGATCACCGATTCGCCGTTTGTGTGCCAGCAATGCACCACACGGCGAAACTGAACGCGGCCTTCCTATCAGACTGGTTTAAAGTACACATTCGCCTTGGAGTAACCAAATTTCGAATCTACTACAGTGAGCTAATTTCTAAGGATCTGAAAGACCTATTTTGGTCATTAAAAAGCCAAGCAGAAATTGACCTCTACCCCCTTTTCTGGCAGGAAAACAACAGAGCAGTTCAACAGGACTCCTGGTACTATCTCCAGACAATGACAGTAAATGATTGCCTTTTACGCAGCCTCTACGACACAGAATATGCATTTTTCGGTGATTTGGACGAAGTTCTCATTCCTCACAGCTCCACTATTTCAAACTGGAGTGATCTAGTTCGTGAAGTGTGGGATAACAGAAATGTTCCAGGTATCTGCTTCCCCGCATACAAATTCTACGGCCCTGATTCCAGTATGAGTGCAAGCCTTCTGCGCTCCGCTAAAATTGATAGGATTCGTTCCAAATGCCTTGTGCGTCCTAATGCCATATTCGAAATGGGCATCCATCATATCAGTAAGCCATTTGAGGAGAGAGCCTCAATGAGACTTAAAACAGCCCCTAATCTCACTCACTATGCCTTCATTCATCATTACCACAGACTATCCGCAGGGAAAAGGACACAAAATCTCAAGAAGGCTGTTCTGGATACAAGCATTCTACGATTTTTGGGGAAATAATTTCCTTATATTTTATCCTACACCATGTAATTATCAAAGCCTTTGGAGTAGGTAGACCGGCTATTAATAAAAATATCTATCATTATAAAAAGCTATATACCATTTCTTAATCTGATGCTTAAAAATTGGTGGCATTTGGTGGTATTTGTTTGATTGATAGAACCTACACCTCTTGAAAGTTATATTAAGGCGATTTAGGCAACAAGCAGATTTTCCCAGTTGGCGGCAATATAAACACTCGTGACTTGGGGGTGTGGGTTTTTTTCTACGAAACTTCTGTTTAGTAGCACCTTTTGCCTGAAAAATATCTAAACGTCCGGTTATCATTTTTAAATGACTTTACTAAGAGCACGACTAGGAATTTAAAAACGCACAAAGAAAATGTGACTATCATTCAATTTTGCTTGTCGCCTCCCAGTGTTTCGTCAATTTAAAACAAATTTAAATGCAGGTGGATTTTAAGGTGAATGGAAGTTATAAGAAAGACTGGTTTAGTACTTTGTAATGTGAATTACTTGACAGAAATATTAAAGTATGGCATTTATTTCGAAAAAATGTTTAAATACTAGACTAGAGAAAATACTAATACCCAATTCATTAGTAATAAAATAACTGCACAGGACGCCTTCACTTCTTCTCCTCCAAGCTTTACTTAAATATAATTAAAAGTGAATTTATAAGTTTTTTTTTCTCACGAGAAAAAACACTGAATAAATGTTCCAGTTTTCGAGCGTTTTGATTATTACGTGACTTTGAATTTCCATGAATTAAAACACAACCTAGTAGTAATCGACAGTTGAAGCTACCCTGTGCATCGGACGTTGTGGCTAACGGTAAGTCATTTGAACTCGATCAACAGCAAGCACTCATTCTGTGTGTACACCTTTGCTATGCCACTTCACTCTTCCATGTAGTTTCTCATATTTAGAGTCAGCAACTGTCCGCTTTAATTAAAAAGAAGCGGGGATTAATAATCTGCTTCGGCGGATTAATTGCCTTTTACTTTCTCTAAGTCCTTTAAAAGCCGACACACACAACAAATTTGGTTTGAGTAATTTGCCACTTACGGAAGATAGAAACCGATTCATCTTACAAAATGTGTTTTGTTATGACTGTTTATACTGCTACCATTTATGATAAACTTAAGCTTAATTTGAGGCTGTACTTCACTGAAGGGAAATTAAACAGCCTTTGAGCGTTTAATGTTGGAATGCGGATTCCAAGGTGGCCCATTGTCTGGCCACGCAAGGTGACTCTCCCGTACATGTATGATGATCCAGGCATTCGATTCTACGCAATTAACACACCCCTCTTCTAGGACACTAAACCATCACAAAAAGAGCATTTGCCTGTCAATTTCAGGGCAAATTCTAATTCCCACCTCAACAGTGTTCTAGGCAATATTATTTCTTAGGTAATCTCCTAGGGTTATCATACTTCCGAATTATTTCCCTTACACACGACCTCTGCTTTGGATTGCACAGGAACGAACAAAGCAATTAATGTTTCAAATACTGGTCAATTTGCTCAATTTTTATTTCATTATACATAAAACCCAGGCAGTTACGGTGAATCAAAATTGTAAAATAAAATCACAGTAATTACTAATACTAGTTTATTTTGGTAATAATTTACAAAACCCCACAAGAAAACCTTCTCTGATAAGTCCTGCTGCTAATCCGGGATGCTCAACAAGATAAGAGCGAAGACCCATGAAACAGCATTTCCCCCATAATCGGTCAACAATACGTTTAAAAGATGGAATTGAGACCTGGAGCCGTGACACCAAAACCTCGAGTGGATTGGACGGAGAAATCCGAGCTACACACACGGAAATGAGCGCCACCCGAGACCACACAATCTGACAGACGGTGTTCAAAACTAGGTAGCAAACTAACTCGGCAGACACAAAACCACAACGCTAGTAGAGGACACAACAAAGCGACAGCACCCGCGATCTATGCAAACTCAGGGAGACCACCATTAGGGCAATCTTTTCCATACAACAACAGCGTCCAACTTGTTTTAATTATTCTCTTAAGCAATAGTCCACAGATTCAAGAAACAAACAAAGCCTTTCTGGTCTGTATGTTCCACAGGATGTGACAAAAGCCAAGCAAAGCCCTCCGGTATATGAGCACTGTAAATCCAATATACCATGATTATCTGGAATTAAAAAGGCTCTAGCCGGCCGATGAAGGGATAAAGGAAAGACACGATGTAGATTTGTGTCAATTAATACAGGTAGTTAGTTAGTTGAATAGGTTAGATTGGAGAGCGGAGAACAAGGTCCGGGGAGTGAAACGCTATTTTGCGGTAAGTGGGTGAAAGAGCTGTCGGTACCGAGACTACACTGAACACACTGCGTGCTGCCATTTTGTTTGCTAAAACATCGAAGAGGAGAACGGAAACAGCCAATGGAGAAAGGAGAGCGACAGCTAAATTAGTATAGAGTCGGACTTGGATAAATTATGAGATAGAAGTGGAAGGGGAATAGCAGAAAGACAACCGAAAAAGAGAGTAGCCTATGACTATTTACACAAACTGGGAGTAAGGAGGAGACAGAAGTGAAATAGCACAGAAAGACCGGGCGGCTTCAGCAGACTGCGATTATGTACATAAGGCAGGCCGACAGTTAGACGCGAAGATCGCTGGAGAGATTGTCACTACTACCAGGGGTGGCAGCGTTGCCAGTGACAGCACCAGCGGCGGTAGCGGAGTTGTCGCTAACGTTGGCTGCCGCGGCATCGGTGGGTGCCTGAGGTCCCTTGAAGGCTGTAGAAGGAGGATTGACGATTCGGTTCCGCAGCCGAATCTCGCGTTGCATTGCCATGTTAATCTGACGATTGTCCATGTTCATGTTGTTATTATCTCTGCGAATATTACAGACACACATAACTGTAAAATGAATTTAGATTAGGTACGTGATTTCGGAACAAAAATACAAAGAATCTGTTTTGATGTTTTACGGACCACTAAAAGCTTCTTTACTCAATATTAATATGCACAAAGACAAGCTAAAAGAGAAAATCCTGGTTTAAAGACCTTTTTGATACCAGCAAATAATAAGTTTTTAATTTGAAATAACACATAAAACGCCGGGAACACAAAAACTCTGAAATCCGGTACGTTTCAAGCATAGCAAGCCATGAAAACCTAATTTGACTCGGCAGGATTTCGCATAATTTACCCAATTCACTGTTATAAAAAATGCACAAAGAAATGGAGAAAGGTATTCCAATGAGAAAATAACCGATGCTATTGCGAGGGCAACATTGAGCAACGCCCCAAGTAAACAAATCAAGAGATTTAAAACAAAAATAAGATGAATGACAGCTGGTTATTTGCGCGTAAATCCGAAGACAAGCGAGTTAATAGAGACAAAAAACCCACTTTTGGATCTTGCGCAGTATGTCGTGTACCTCGAGGCCAGTAGAAGAGATTTTGACGGGCGGAAGACGCGTGCGCCGATTCTGCCGACGAGTGGGTGTGGAGGGTGTAGAGGTGGTGGAGGAGGCCGTCGAAGAAGCTCCATCGAAGAAGCCGCCGAGGGAGTTCGATGCCGAGGCGGAAGCTGCAGCTCGAGTCATCACGCCAACACCGCCACCACTACCAATACCACCGACAGAGATCCCACTGGTGGCGCATCCACCATTGGCCTGCAATATAGCACCCGCCTGCGGTGGACGCGGCGGACGAAAGTTTTCGTGGAGATGGTGGAGGCTCGCTGGCGAATGACTGTCGCACAGACTGACCTGACTGCTACTTGACTCACCGAATCCGGCTGGTGCCATATGGGAAGTGCGAAAAACCATTGCTGATGAAGTGTAACACTCGAAGGCGTGAAAAAGATCAGTTATTATAAGGAGTCAAACGGCTGTTTAGGCCAAATACCATACCATCTCCCAGAGTTACTATTTCTAATTAATAAATCAGTAGATACGACTGGAATAGGTCGCAAATTAACACAATCAAGTACCTAGCAACGTCAAAAATGCAAAAGCACTCGAACTTAGTTTATTGAAGACCAATTTGACGTAGAGTATCCGCAGTGATGAAGTAATTACTCCAACATCAAGCACACGACTGAAGAATACTGTATTTCTTCATTTTAAGAGACTGGGGCCTTCACTGCTAATGAAACGAAGCTTTGAAGAGTTACATTAGTTATCAAATGCTACATTCCCTTCCTATCTTACACGAGAAGAACACCAACTACTGTTGTTAGTGCTTTTGCCTAAATTACCCTCATCAAGGCAATTTTGTAACAAAAAGATGGCTCTTTTAATTGTACATTTAACAAAGCGAGCTCTTCTACCTTCGTGGTTTCAGCCACCATTTCTCTTAAAGACGCTGAACGCTTACAGCAAAGTCCCTAACCAGACCCATAAAATTTGGATATTTTCAGAGAGAACTGACCCAATAATTTTACTGAAAAAGTTTAAGTAGCACTTACAACGAGAAAGTGACGCCGAGAGGAAGGAGGTAGTGTCAGACCGCCCTTGAGGGTAATGCAATGACGATGACGAAGACGAGGTTGATATTTCCGCCAGATTGCTGATAACATCAAAATCAGCCGCCAAATTCACATTAAGAATGGTGCCTGCATTGTCTAGGAAAGGTAATGAGAAAAAAACAAAGAAAAGTAATTAGCTGGGAGCGAGGCACGTAATTAGTTCTCTTATCAATAAGAGCAAGAATGGCTCGGTTACTAACAGAAGGGAAAAGATCTTGTTGGGTGTCATTTGTGAGTTCTTATTCAACAACAAGTTTTGAACAATTTGTGCACACATAATTTTGCTAGCGTCCGTCAAGTGGGCGGATAGACAAAAATGTTCTTTTAAGTACAGGCTTAGTACACAAAATCTTCTTGTTTCCACTTTTTACAAACAGCAAACCTGCGAACCCTTGCGTGCGTACGAAGTTCTAGGTGGAGGGAGAGATACTGTTGCACAATGGTGATAGTGATGAAAGTGCCCTGAAGAGAAGTCGGAAGGTGAAAAATAGCAACCACCATATGTAAAAGTCATTATTCAACATTGGAGAAAGCCAAGCACGTTTTCAAACATTTACACAGGCAAGAAGAGTAACTCAAGAGCCAGATGGGAAGATCAAACAGGGATTGATTGGTGGGGCAATCTAATTTTAACAAAACCCAAAGGATCACAAGGGGTCCAATGAATCTACCAATTCTAAAGGTTGCAGCAAGAGTTCGATCCAAAGTTTAAAAAACGCCAACCTTGTCACTGACTTACAAAACACACTGCAGGGCTAAAAACTAACCGATCACCGCTCTCCAAGGAGGCCATCCTATTGGTCGAAAAAGGCGTGTGAATTTGTACTAAAACCACAATCCATTGAAAGTACAGATAAAGGGCGTTCAAATATGGAATGTTTAATGCGATGGACCAATTGGTTTAACTAATTTCACTTTATTCTCAACAAGACTTCCACACAAACAGCAGTAGGGAGGGACAGGAGAAAGCGACTGACAAGTAGATGTACCTACTAAACGGATGAAGAGCACATCTGCCGACTTGAGGTGTGCTAATGTGGCCTTGTCACTATATCACACGCAACAACTAGTAACACTACACGAATTCCTGGTCGTTGGATGTATCACTGCTGGTGTTAAACTAAGTCAAATCGACAACGCAACATGGTTATTCGAATCAAGTAAAACATTCCACAGGGAAGAACTTAGCATGGGGATACGTTGATTAATCATAAGCCCCATCAGAACAGGCACGTGTCATGATAAGGCAAAATGGGCCAACGATTGAAGTGCCACCTCGCACAGTGTCAATCATATTGGACACTCTGGTGAGGCCTACTGAATGATTGGTGAAGCGACCGCTCCCAATGCGGAGTTTTTTGGAGCAATTGCATGAGAATGAAAACGCAACAGCTGAGAGTGAAGTGGGAATGAAGATTGATACGCACTTTAGGGTGAGAATATGCATAATTGTTAGAGTGGCATTGGAGTGTCCTTTCACATAAGGTTAGCGTGCCATGTAGTGTCAGTAAGGGGACACGTGCCAAGGCATTTAGGGTAATGGAGATGGAAAGGGAAATCGAACTCCGCCAATTATGCTTACATAGGTTTAAGCATTAAGCGGCGAATAAGTGCAAAATACGCCGATACTTTACCACCATAATGCTCATGATAGTGTTTGTAGCAGTAAAAAGTGAACCACGCACGATGATGAGGTGATCAATTCACACCAACTACGTGAAAATAATACTTAACGTCCCACCATTATATAAATGGTAAGCTTCTACTTTCAGCATTGGCAGTTAATGAAGTCATTGTGTTTGCAAATGGCCTAAAGTACATTGGCAGCCTTTACTGAATTGAAGAAAGTACCGGTCTGGGTCAGGTCAAACAGCTGCCAATTCGTGTTGTCATTCAAAGCAACTATATCCGTACTAGAAATTATTTGATACCACGCCTTATCTGAATGAGGTCAGTAAGGACAGCTTACTTGCGGCAAAACCGAGTTTTCGCGATACGGATGAGCGTGTTCGCACAACGCTGGTAGGTGAAGCCGGAGGCACGACTGCAGT